GAGGCTATTGCAATAATCTAGGTGAATAATGATGGTGACTTGGACCAAGGAGGTGGTTGCAGTGCTGAAACAAATGGTCAATGTCTATGTATTTTGAACGTAGAGGCAAGAGGGTTAGTTACTTGATTGGATGTAAGGTGTGGGAAAAAGAGGAGTCATTGATGACTTTAAGGTTTTGACCTGAAAGGATGGAGTTGCCATTTATTGAAATGGGGGTGACTCTGGGGAGGAGTTGGGGGATAGGTAGTCAGGAATTTAGTTTTTAACTTACTGAGCTTGAGAAGCCAATTTGACAAGTGTTGAGTGAGCAGTTTGATATATAAGTTTGGAAATCAGGGGAAAGGTGTGAGCTGGAGATGAAAATTTGGTAGTCACCAGTATACAGATCCTTCTGTAGCTATAAGACTGGGTGAGATTACCTAATAGGAAGTGTTCAAAGAACTGAGCCCTGGGGCAGTTCAACATTTTGAGATCTTGAGAGATGAGAAAAAACTAGCAGAAGAAACCCAGAAAAGTGGCTAGAGAATTTAGAAAGGAAATCAAGAATGGGTGGTGTCCTGGGAGTCAAGAGACGAAAGGGTTTCAAGAAAGAAGGAATGATCAACTGGGTCAAATAATACTGATCAAACAAGGAAATGAAGGCTGAGACTTTACTACTGGATTTAGGAACAGAGAGATCATCACTGGTGATTTTAACAAGATTGAAGGAGGCAGATGCCCTAGTGGAGTGGGTTCAGTAGAGAATGAGAGGAGAGGAACTAGAGACAGTGACTTTGGTTAACTCTTTCTGGAAGTTTTGCTATAAATGGGAGCATAGATACGGGACAATAACTAGAGATTAGGATATGGAGTCATGGGCTTTTCTTTTTCCCAGATGGAAGAAACAAAATGATCCAGTAATGAGAGAAAAATTGATGCTTCTTGAGAGTGAGGGGAGAAGTGCTTGCTAGAGGGATGTCTATGAGAGGGTAGGATTAAGAGGGATGGGAGAGAGAAGGACAATTATGATATTGAGGTCTAACAGGCTAAATCTCATTAGCAGGACTCTGCTTTCTGTTCTGAGCATTTATTTGCATTTAAATTTATTTCAAACTTGTTATACTCTCTATTAGAAGTTAGGAAAGGCAGATAAAAAGCAAAAAAACTTACTGTATATAAAATTAGTGTATCAGCTTGGTGTAGTAGAAGAGGAGAGATTGAATCTTCTGTGTAAGGTGACATTTCATAGTGTCTTTGAATGACAATTATCTGTGCTATTCTAGTCCCTTATCAAAATTTATGATTGAGCGCAGACTATAAACTTAATCATTCAAAATTTGTAGTGGGGTGGATTTTAGTCTGATTTAAAACATGATTTAGTGTTGAAATTTTTCTCTGCAAAATTTGTTTATTGTTTAATGTATATTCTTCATACACAAAGGTTTTAGATATTTTGCAAAAGGTACTTACAAAATAGTTATTAATCACCTTTGATTTATTGATGGTATTTTAAGTTTTACAATCATATCAGATATCTGAATGATTCATTTCTTTACCAGCTCTAATTAAGGCAACTACCTGTGAAGTTCTGGAGAGGTGAACAATCTTCAGTATGCAAAAAATCATGAGAAGTTATGTTAGCAAGATAGTATTCATCTCTAAAAGCAAACATTATTTCATTTACTCCAACTTAACATGTTTTGAATGTATTTTTCAAGAACAAATCTATATTAAAAATTTTTAAGCAAATAAGGCTAAAATTTTGAACTACCTTAGCTACAAGTGTGAAATATATGTGAGAAACAAATTAAGTGGGCTTTGAATCAGCTTAATATGAGGAAATCAAACTTGCATTTCAGAATTATATATGTTTTGCATATGGATAGTGTAAAAAGTACAGATTTATATATAAATCTTTTTTGCTGCTAACTCATTAAACTACAGAAATAAAATATTCACTTTTCTTTTTTTAATCAGTATCCAAATGATAGTCAAATTAATAATTAGTCTTCAGAAGAAACACTTTGGTAGTTCTGATGCACAGTGTTTAAGAATCACTAACCTGGGGGGAGGGTGTACCTCAGTGGTAGAGCGCATGCCTAGCATGCATGAGATCCTGGGTTCAATCCCTAGTATCTCCACTAACTAAATAAATAAACCTAATTACCTCCCCCCTCCAAAAAAAAAGAATCACTAGTCTAAAAATAATTTACTGTTTTTGGGTATCTGAACCTGTGTGAATCTTATAAAAGCTGTGGATCCCTTTCTCAGAATTCTTGTACATTCAGAATTGAGCATGTAGTATCATGGAGTTGGTACACACCTCTGAAGCCCATTCACGGGGATCCTTAGGCATAAAGGATCTCAGTTTTTAAACCCTGCCCTAGATAGCTTACTTACATGATTTTTCTTTAAAACTTTATATGCAAGATTTCCCCCAAATATTTGGTCAGTATTTATTGTAGTTTGTTTCTTAAAAGATTAACTGCTGCAGCTGGTTAAGAGGAATTGAGATTTAGTGGAAAGGCCAGCTCAGTCAAAGGAATCTCAGAATCTGTAGGCTTTTCTCCAGCATTACTACCAACTAGCTGTGAGACCTTTGGGGAAATCACTTAACATCTAAGGTTTTGATTTCCAATGTGATTTCTGCAGTCCCCTGCGAACAGTTTCATGAGTAGGTTGGTTTCATGACATCAAGTAAAATTCTTTGTCAGTTAAGGGATTGACTCTGCTACTGATTTTAGGAGAAAATGCCCAAAAGATAAGGTGCATCCATTGTGCCTTTTTACTGAATATGACTTTTCAGAAGTTTTTTTTTTTTTGACTGTACTGTCTCAAATGCCTATAAGTAAAACTTAAAATCCCAATCCCATACTGATCACTTTGAGTTTTAACATATTTTGTGTATTCTGGGTATAAGCCATTGTTATTATATGTGTTGCTGTTGAAATCTCCAGTTCTGTGGCTTGTTTTTTCATTCTCTTAATGGTGTTTTTTTTGATGAACAGAAGTTCTGAATTTTAATTTGGTCCAATTTATATGTCTTTTCCTTTTCATTATATTTTAAGATGGTAATATTTTACTTTATAATCAACTGTTTTTATCCAGAGTCATTCATTTACCAAATAATGCTGTGGGAGATCAATGCATAAGAAATTATCCCCAGCATGAAAGAGCTAACAAGAAATGCCTAATAAGAAAGATAAAGCCTGCAATAGAGAGTAAAGAGTCTATTCAGTCAATTCATTCATTTAACAACTATTTACTGAGCATTTACTATGTGCCTGGTAGTGTCTTGAGTGGTATAGAATCCTATAGGTATCTGTACTGTTAAGAATCCACTTTTGTTTTTAATTGAGATTTATTGACATAGAACATTGTGTTTTAGGTGTACAACATAATGATTTGGTATGTGTATATATTGTGAAATGATTAACATTGAGTTTAGTTAACATCCATTACCACACATAGTTAAATTTTTTTCCTTATGAGAATCTACTTTTTAATAAGGACATTATTCTACAGATTCTTGCATCATTTTTCTTTTGGTTGGGAGTCATTCTAAATTTCGTGATTAAACTTGCCATTTGTACGGACTTTAGAACTTTAAAAAGTACTGCTGCTTAAAAAAAGGGCAGGATAAAACAAAAATTGAATTTCTTTTGGAAATGAATGTTACCTGCACAAATTGGAGCCCTTTAAAATTATTTTACTATGTTTTATATGACTTGCATGATTAAATAAAAATTTATAATCTGGATGACATGAAGATTTTTTGAAATATCCCTTAGGGAAATGAGAATTGACACTTTTGGACTAACATTAGTCAACAAATGTACTATGTTTAACGCATAAGGACAATACTTTACAGATTTAGACCATGGTATGTAGAGTTTAAATAATTTAGTACTAAAATATTAGGGGACAAGTTTTAATTTTTGTTTCCTAATTTTTTTTTTAACTGGAAAAGAAATTTAAGGCAAGGAAGAGTTAAAAATAAACATTATAGAAAAGAGAGATTGGAGAAAAACAAATAGTTGGATTTAACCAGTGTCTTTCATATTAGAATTTTTCAATGACAAAGGCAATGTGTGGATAAAAGTTTTAAAAGCATCTATACTATTGAAATGAGAGAAAAATGACAAATATTGAATATTGAAACCATTTAGGAAATGGAAGTCTTCAGTCTAAGAGAATAAAGGCAGTAAGACCTCCCCCCCCCTGAAAAAAACAAAGCAAACATACCCTGACTTGATTTTTCTGAACTTGAAATCAACTTAATGGAGTTTAATTAATCTTAAAAAAAAAACAAAACCACACACACGCAATTGATAAAAGCATCACTGAGCATTGTATTGGGATCCCAAAACCTTGGTTTTCTTTCTGGCTCTATCACTGATTAAATATGTGGCATAGGGCAAGTTTTGTGTTACGTGGTTTACAGTCTATAAAGTGGTGAGACTTTAAGAATGTGAATGAAAAGTTTAATTAAAATTATGGCTGTACATATAAAATGCTGTGAATTTTAAAGCCTTATATAAGACAAATCCATTTCAAGATTAATTTAAAAAGGCCTTTTAAGTAGACCAACTAAGGGCCAATGATGTTAACCTAATTTGTTAATATAAAGCAATAAACAGTGAAAGTCATTTGTTGAGGATGAGGGTGTATTTTTGTGTTTTTTGATTGAGGTGCATTTCATTTCTGTGTCTCTTAGGAAAGGGAAACCATCAACTATTTACTTCTCCTTGTCTTGAAAAAACTGTGGAAAGGTTGAAAAACTGGAAAATTAAGAGATCTAACTGCCCTTGAATTCTTTCCTTGCTGTAAAAACTACCTGTCTCTCTCTCTCTCTCTCTCTCTTTTTTTTTTTTTTGAGTTTTAAAGCTTTGGAGAGTTTTATGTGGTTTGGCTTTTTCTTGTAAAAATCAGATGGAAATCTTTAAGTCATTAGCTTTTGATGACAAAGTCATAAATCTGTGTTTGTAGTCTGATTCCATTTTCCCCTTTTTCTGTTGTAGGGAGCAAGAGAACTGAAGGAGAGCCAATTTCCCCAAAATTGGTAAGTACCTTTTCTAGGCAGGCATAGTGTGCTTGATACTAGTTGGATAATAATTTAAATATTCAGTGGTTTTTTTTTTTTTTTCAAAAAAGCTCTCTCCCAGAAATGAAAATGAGGCTTTGCTCTTTGCACTGAGTGAAAGTGAATTTTTGTCTAATTTCACATAGCCGTGTCTCAAATGAATTTGTGTTTCTAATAATACTGCTCAGCTTGCATGTTCCTGCATTCGATAACCTGTTAAAATGTAAAGGTCCCCTTTGCCAAAAAGTCCTTAATGCATTGGTTAGGGCTGTAAATTCAAAAGTCAGGAAATTCAAAAGTTGAGGTTCCCATTGTGTTTTGTATTACTTAATATGTTGTTAAATTTGATGGCCTTAGTATATGTGCAGAATGGCTAGGTTAATGTAACTATGGGAACCTTGACTTTGAAATTTGGGGCTCGTAAGCATTTATATTCTTAAATTTAATATTGGGTTGGCTTCATGTCTGATATTACATTTTCAGAGTGTGTTTTGTGTAATTCTTGAAGAGGAAAAAATAAAAAGAGAGATGTAGCATTTGGGGGGCATGTAGGCAAACACATTTTTCCCCTAGTATCAACTTTAATATCTAACGGCTTATAAATCATCACACTTAATCATTTCTTTGAATGCCTAATTCAAGATCACAGATTACACAGGGCAGTCTAGTAACTAAGGATCAAACAAATATTAACCTTATTTGGAGAGCACGTATTGTGATAAACTAAATTCAAACAAGGTGGCTGGAATAGGGTAGTCCTCCAATGCAAGGCTATTCTTTTTTTTTTTTTTTGAAGTCCCTCTCTCAGATAGTAATTAACTTAGTGGGTGGAGCAGATATTTGGTTAAGGCTTCTTTTTCATAACTTATGGTCCTTAAGCTATCTCTTACCTTTTAGAAATTGGGCTTTGAACATGAAAGGGAGGCATTTGAATTAGTTAACCTTGCATTTTACTACCTTTTAATTCTACTTGCCTTTCTCTCACGTTTTAAATAATCAAGACCCTATAGCCCTTTACTTCGAGATGTGATGGAATGAGACGCTTAGAGAAGCAGGGATCTGAAGGGCTTTCTCTTTCAGCCTTTTACTGGATGTGGCAATTTCTTCTCCTATATCCCTGACAGATTGTTATTCGGGTACATACTGAATACTACATTTTTAAAAAAATGTAGCTCGTATTTTCTATAATGTATTCGGAGGAACAGTAGTTCCACAGAAGTTAATATTTTTGAGGTGGGGTGAGGGTGGGGAAAATGTTCTGTGGTCAAATAATTTGGAAAATGCTGCGTTAAACAAAGTTAAACAGGTTTCTTTACTGCAGGACTTCTCAGAACCTTTAATATGCTAATGTGCATTGTGAATCTCCAAGAGGGGGATATGATATGCAGCATTCTTGAATACTTCTAATGACAGGGAGCCCACTACCTCATAAGGTAACCCATTCCTTTTTTGTACAGCTCTAATCCTTAGCGCTTCCTTAAATTGATCTGAAATCTCTCTCCCATAACTTCCACTTCTATTAAGTACTTATTGGTTATGCCAAGACCACCACACCCTCTTATGTAATCCTTTGTGTAGTAACTATTTATATGATTCTGGCCAGGTTTGTCTGGACTTTTTTTTGACATTAGGTAGCATTCTGGTAAATGTAGCAACCATTTCTAAAATCTCGACCTCATTGTCACAATGCTCTTACATGCTATTTAGCCTTCTTCATTTTGAGTTGCTGTGAGTTTTAAAATTTACTTCAACATTCTTGCTGTTGGGTATAGTTGGGATGATTTTGGTAGACATACTTGATTTCTGTAAGGAAAGGTGGGAAATAGAAGAATGCATGTGTTCCTGCTAGGCTTGGGCCCAGGAAGCTGTGGTAGGAACTGTATGTTACAGCGCACACTGGTGGTCGGGAGAGGTGCAGGACACTGCAGCAGACCTGTGGAAACCCCTACTCGACCCAAAATACCACACCCTCCTGTTGGAATGGTGTGACCTGTGTAGGTATTACTTTCAATGAAGATGTGGCCCTCTTTCCCCTCAAAAAAACAGAGAAAAGAAAGATACATATTTTATACTCAAAGACATTCAGACATTCAGATATCATAAATCCATTTTTTTGTGTGTGTATAGAAATTTAATTTAATGGTTAAGAAACGTCAGTCTCACTAGCTGAGGTGAGTTTTATAAACACTTGTAATACCAGGATTTGAGCATATTAACTTTGCCAGATTCAGAGGGTAGCTTCTAAAATCAGGATTGCCAGGCTCTTTGTGCTGTAGCATTTTCTGTTGACCTGTGGTATATCACCAAAGAACACCACTAGGAAAATAAGAAAACAAATGTACATTGTTTTCTAATACCATTTTTATTGATTCATGTTAGTAAATGTTAGTTTTCAACAAGTGCTATTAAAATAATTTTTTATTTTTATCAATAGTTACAATTTTTAGAACTATTAGTTAAAAGTTAAAGATACTGTTTTATCCCCTAGCATGATAGATACATAGTAAGCAGTAAGTATTTTACTGAAATTGAAACCTGTTATTTTAGTATTAGGCATGTGACAAATAAGAATACATAGATCTGTCAATACTTTCTGCTTTTTCATATCTAAATAATTAAACCCACTCTAGACACTGTTCTAAGACTATAGATCAAAAGTGGAGTCTTATACCAAGTAAACATATGATATAAAGAACACTGAGCTGACCATTTTTAGGGAATTCAGTCTGGAGGCACAATATTATGGAGTTATTGTTAGTTAAAGAAACTTGATTGATGAGTTGAGTTTTGATTGGAAAAAGTTCATATCAGTTCAGAAACACAGCAGTGTTTCTTAGTAAGTTCAGAGTTAAAGCATTGCTGCATTATTAGAATCATAATGAAAGACCTAGAAGTCACCTATTCTCAGGCAAAACTATAACCAGAAAAATAGTTAGAAAGCCTTTTCTTAGAGAATTTGAAAATAAGAAAGCCTACAGTCCTTTCAGCAGTATACCGTGTTGAGAAGTTTATACAAAGTTTGTGTATATGAATGAGTTAAGTATATTAAGAATAATGTAGAACTTTATAGTTTACAAAAGGCTTTTCATATGCTTTCACCTAATTTAAACCTCATAATAATTTAGTGAAGTAGGTGATACTGTTCCCGTTTTCCTGATTTGTAAACAAACAAACAAACCTGAAACTGAGAGTGGCTACACAGTGAGTAAGTGGAATCAGGTTTTTTGGGGGGGGGGGATGTGGAGAATAGCGAATGCTCTTTCCAGATATTACAGCTGCCTCTTTTAGTGGGATTTATTTGATTGATTGATTGATTGATTGATTTGGTTTGGTTGGTTTGCAGAGGTTTTTTGTTTCTGTTTTTGGTTTTTTGTTATTTGAAGGTGAGAGACCATTAGGTGTCTTAGTGATTTGACATGTACAATTTTGAAGATACTGAATGTTGGTATTTTGTTCTAGGCACTTGCCTTCTCTGATGGTAGTATTTAGAGCTGTTGGGTGGTGAAAGGCATTGTACCTCAATAAACTGTTTTTGTAAGTCTGTTCATATTTACCTTTCAGCAGTTGATTTGTTATTTTTAACTTATTAGAATTGGTCAGTTTATGATAAATCATCTTTTTACAAATTTAGCAAATAATGCCTTCTTTATAATGCTATAAACTGCCCCCGAATGGTCATAACATGATGGCTGCATGTGTTGTCTAAACACCCAAAATATTTTTTTTAAAGGATTCAGTATGTGCTTGCCTTGTTTTTGTAAGCTATGAATGTATGTATATAACTTGTTCTTTAGGCAGAAGCCAATCTCTTAAAATTGCTATTTAGAAAAAGACTTTTGTGAAGGATGTCAAATCAATCTACTAATCCTTCATAAGTTTTTCAGTAACTAGTCACCTTTTTTTAACCCTTCAGTTTTATTTTGAAATAAAATGAGTAATTGGCATTTAGAATCCATGCCAAATAAAATTTTGTGCCTTTGTGTGTCTCTAATAAGCAGACAACAATCTGATGAAGGAAGTAAAAGCTGTCAGCTCCTCATTCTCTTGAGTTGCAGGCTTCTTATCCTGTGAGGCCCTCTGACGTTTAGAGCCTCCAGGTTAAACCTTGATTTTATTTATTCTCTTCCTGAACATTTTGTTTCATCAGTATAAAATTTTCTGATGTTTTATCTAGCAATCCTAAGTTAATTTTTGTTACTTAAAAATAAGTACATATTTTCTATGGAAAATTTCAAAAATATTGATACTTTGAAAAGAAGAAAGTAAGTATCCCTTAGTGTTACCCTAAGAGATAACTAATAGCAAATTAAAAAGTGCCACCTGACCCAAACTCTAGACAGTTCAGAGTATTATTATTTTTACAAATATTTGTCAGTTTGATAGATAAAACATGTCTTCTTAAAATATACAAAATGTACATTTCTATGACTCTTGAAGATAGATATTTTTCATGTTGGTCGTTCTTGTTTCTTCTGTTAGTTGCTTTTTCATAGTTTAAAAAAATTAATTTGTGAGCACTCTAACTGTACAAATTATGTTAACTCTTTGTTGTGTATAAATACAAGTTCTTCATGTTTTTAACATCCTGTTTGTTTCTAGAGTTAATTAGTTGAGTTGAGCGATGATGTTGTATGTTACTACCAGTAAAATAAAATGTGGCTTTTCAGTTGTTGAAAATAATCCTTCAAGATGATTCTTAATTTGACAACAATTACAAAGAATCACTTTTGGACGCATTTTCTGATAGCATCTTAAAACTAACTTAAGTAGTGTCCAGGAAGAACTATTTGCTTTTTTATGTAGAGTAAACTTACATGACAACAAAAATCTTGGTCTAAGTTAGTAACTTAATGATTCTGATATTTATTCATTGTAGTTCCAAGGATTTTTTTTTAGATAATAATAGTTGAAAAACCTAGGCATGTTCTTCAAAATATCTTCCCTTTTCCAAATTATCTCCCCTGAGCATACTACTTTCATGAAAATTTTTGGTTCACAGTGTCATTGTATAATAATCCTTTCTTGGCCTTCACAAATGTAAGTTTGAAGGAATTTTATACTTGTGAAGTTTGTTGTTTTTTAGATTAGAGTGTTTTGATATTACATAATATAGTATGTAAGCCTTAGGGGGCAGATTGTCAGTGATATGTTAAGCCTAGTGAGATTAAACAAGTATAAAGGAAACTAATATTCACAAATATACAGCCTGTAGTCAATGATTGCTTTATAGCTGTTAAGTCAGGTTTTAAAGAAGTTTTAAGAAAACTTAGGTTGACTACAGACTTTATCCATAGATAAATAATTGTTAGAAAGTATAAAGATGCCTCCTGATTGTTCCCTTCCTTAGTTCCTTAGTTCTCTTTTCCTTAGTAAGAATGCTGAAAAGCTGTGCTAACTACAAATTTTATAGGTACGAAGAAGAAAGGAGAAAGAAGTAAAGTTTAAATTTATCCCAGTAAAGTTTTGCTTTGGGAGAGTACCTAAAATCATGTCTAAGGCCATGTTCAAGGAAAAAGAAAAAAAAAATTGAGAATTAGCCATTGAGTTAATTTAAATTGCAATGCAGAGTAGGAAGGTTCACATTCACAAATCTACACTTTTGACATCATCTCTGCACACAGTTATATACACAGCCAAAGAGATGCACCTGCAGGCTTGAAAAGATGGTGTTTATTGTAAAGGTGGAAGTGTCTGTTCTGTTGCTAGACCACCTCATCCATTGTGCATGATAGATTTATTTTTTAATGTCCCTGTCATAACTTTGTGGAAAGGAGAGTTACATTGCAGTGTATTTGTGTTACATACTAACTTGTAAAGTGTAAACCTTTCAATTATACCAGAATTTCCCCCATTTTGAGTTTCTTTATTAATAGAGTAAGAGTCATCCAAATGAAAGTATTCCGGCCTTCTTTAACCTCTGAGAGACCCTGCAATATCCTGTTCACTCTGTGTGATGTTTAAAAATGTATGACCATGTTGTTATGTGTCTCTTTCTAAGAACAGTGTGTCCTGGATGGTTGTCCTCTCCCCCTCTAGACTTCCAGCTCACCCAGGACAGAAGTGGTCTTGTTCAGCACCGTGTCCTCAGAAAGGAGTATGTAATACGGTGCTGAGCATGTAGTAAGTGCTTAGATGTTTTCATGGCCAGATTAAACACACTTTCTTCATTTCCTAATTATTTTAAGTATCTTGTAGAGGAATACTCAAAGCATAAACCCAGAAAGTTTTGGTACCAATTCAGTGCAAAACTACTCATTTTTGAAAGAAATATATTTGGGGAAATTTCTTGCCCTTGTTAGACAATCAAATATTTTAGACTAATAGAATTTATTTTATTTAATATAAGTATTTCCTTTATGCCCAACATAATGATCCAAAATATTTTATTGATCTCTACAGCTGCAGTGAGAAGAGGAGTTTGTTATTTTAAACAGAGGCTGAAGAAACTATAGAATTAACAGACATAAGAAAAAGTGGAGAAGGTAGAGGATGGAGTTGCAGACTCTACAGGAGGCTCTTAAAGTGGAAATTCAGGTTCACCAGGTACGCTGCATTCATGGCTTCTCCCACATCATGTTAGTAAGTAATGGCTAAAATTAGTAAGCAGGACATCTCTGATTTTTAGTACAGTTTTTAATCATCTTGCAGTCATTTGTCCAAGAGTTATGTTATTCGCCTTTTATCACTACTCAACAAACTCATTGATAATATTTTTAAGAACTTTACTAAAACGTTCCTGACTTCTCTTCCAGAGAAAAGAACTGAAAATATTTTTTTTCGAATGTTAAAGGTGTTTAAAAAAACCCAACTCTCTATTTTTCTGTTTTTTTGTTCATCTGAGGGACTTTGTTCATGTGACTTGCGTATTTTAAATAACAAGATGTATTTAACTTGACTTCCATATGTCCTGAAGGTTTTACTCATAATTCAGCTATATGACTTGACTCTAATCTTTAACAAAGAAAATGTGTTCACAAATGTTTAAATTTCAAATTTCACTATTCTTACATTTTACCCTAGGGACCTAGGCTAAACAAATCTTTAAAATATATAAATAAAAAACATTGATAATTACTATATTTATATAATATAATTATATTAATAAAATATGTGATATTAAATACATACATTTTATTTAGTGTAAATGTAACCAAGACAAAAAACTATCCTTAAATAACTAAATCATTTATCATGTAAACAGAAATAACACTGTTTACAGTCTCTTTTCTAGACATTAGCTGGATATGGTCCTAGGTTCAAGACAAAGGTACACACACATACACATATATAATTCTTGGTAATCAAAAGTGATAAATGATGCTCAGTTGACTACTTTTGAATGTTCAGAGTGTGAGCAGAGAGAAGGGAACTATTTTTTAAAGATGTTTGTTCTTAGATATGGTGTTCCTTGTTTTATCTGAATAGTCTAATGTAAGGTTAATTTCTGAAGTTGTTGGAAGAACACCTTGGGCTTTCGATAACTACTAAATTTGCAGGTTGCTTAGAATTAGGATGGATAAGAACTTTTAAAAAAAGCTTCAAAAGTACATATATACACACACATATATCTATAGATAGACAGATAGCTGTACTTTTTACATTGTCTCTTGATGTTCAAAAATCCCTGCTGCTGCTTTGGATCCTATTAAACTCTTGCTCAGCAGTAGTCTCAGCATTTGCTGTGTATAGGCAGGCTTCTCTATGTGAAGTGTGTTTTGTTTTTATGGTAACTTTAAGAAATTTAGTATATAAAAAGTTATGCACATTTTATTTCATTTGGCCTTGCTTCTGGTACTTATTGAGGAGAACAAAAACCCCTTTACAAAAACAAACTTGTCTTTTTCTCCTGTTGAAAGTATTTTAACATATTGGTGTGTTGAGTATCCAATTTGGCTGAAGGGCGAATGATGACAGTTAAATTCAAGATTTGTTCAAAGCTGACATCATCATAGGATGAATTTCTGGAGAAAAATTATGAATCTGAAGTTTGCATGGATCAAAGATAGTTTAATGAAGTTATATGTGATTTTTGGAGATATTCTGCCTCTCAAGAAATTTTGAGATGATGAAATTAATGTTATACTTTTAGTTCATCCTCAGAAGGTATGAACAAGTCCAAATGAGACTTTTTTTTATTGAAAGACTTTTGACCCAAATTGAACTAAATTACTAAAAATTAAAGAGTTCTTAAGTATTATTTTGGTTCGTATTTTTAATTCAAGCATACAAATTTTATGAAGATTATAGTTATGAAAAATGTTTATTGTTTTAAAATCTAATTTAAAGTTTAAAATTAACATTTGTTTGCTCAAAAGGAATATAATATTCTTCCTAAAGTTATCACTCTCTTAATATTCACATTAATTATTTCCCTGTATATTTATTTTTTAGCATAAAATTAATAGCTTTTATAGTCACCCTTAATTATTATAGAGCATTTTGTTTGTGCAGTAATAAACATTTACTTATGTTTATCAATGTTGGTTGATAGTATTTTAAGATAGAAAGTATATAAGATATTTCACTCCAGTTACATTTAGAATACTTTTTTATTTAAAAAAATTTAAGTATTAACAGTAAATCCAAGTGACATGCCTTTCTTGTAAATTTTATGTTGTTATTATGATTGGATATGTGGTAGCTTACATGATCATGGGTCATGACAAATTCAGGGATGCCAGAAATGACATCAAAGTAGGCACTGGCTATTAGGCTGAGGCCAAAGCCAGATCATACATTTGACTAAATATTGGGGCCACCCCTTCCTCATTTCCACTTAGGGAATGAAATTAGGGCTGAAAATGAGCTTACTAGATAGAAAGTGTGTTACAGAACTACCTGGTCTTGCTTTGGTGGAAGTACTTTTGTTCTCTATGGACAGGGAGATGATTTAAAAAGTAGCAACATACACGTGGTTGATGTTGACTGGATGTTTAAATAATAGTGGCCTGTGATGGGTATCTCATCTTTTTTGAGAAATTGCCTTTTTGATTTTTCTTATGTGGATTTAATGAAAGTCCTATTTAAACTTTTGGAGTATTTACTCTACCTGGAATGGAGAATAGTATAAAGCAGAGATTAGCAAACATTTTCTGTATACAGCCAGGCAGTAAAGTATTCTATATTTGCAAGTCATCTGTGGTCTCTGTCATAACTACTCTGCTCTGCTGCTGTACAGACAAAGCAGCCATAGACAATATATAAATGAATGGGTGTGGCTGCCCCCCAATAAAACTTTATTTACAAAAATGGGTGGTAGGCTGGATTTGCCTGTGGGCTGTAGTTTGCCAACCCTTGACATAAAGTATATCCTCAAAAATTGCTGCATCTTGCAGTGGAAAGTAAGTTAACTTTGATAACACACAATGGCAGCTTGAAGTCTCTAGGGATTTGGTTGGTCTAATTAACCCACCCAGCTTGTTCTGTCCTGCCTCTAATGGTCTAAAATGCAGCTTGGTTAAGTATAGGTAGAAAAGTTGGCTTATTTATTTCCTCCAGAGAAAGGACTGAGTTTGGTTATCAGTCATTTTTTAATTTCCAGTGTCATTGAGGAAAACCATTTTGAGCTTTAAAAAGGAAACTTTAGTATAGAAGTCCACTCTCTGATAACCAAATCAGAAAGGACAGCCAAGGACTTTTTTCATTGAAGAATATGACTGGCCTTTAGACTACGTTAGTAAAAATGTATATGTATGGGAGGGAGGGTATATATAGCTCAGTGGTAGAGTGCATGCTTAGCATGCAGGAGGTCCTGGGTTCAATCCCCAATATCTCCATTAAAAAATTAAACAAACAAACAAAATTACCTCCTCCTCCCCCCAAATTTTAAAAATATGTATATGTATAAAACCTTGTGTTTCTATCTCATTGAGCTCTTGGAATGCTTGTTATTACTATTTTGTAGATTAAGACCAAGATACAGAAGAGTTAACCACTGTCACATATGAAATAGAGTATAGTAACATATGTCTTCTGTATTTGGAGATCATGGTTGGCAATCTCAGCTATCCAAAATGTATCCTAGCACCTGAAGTAAGGCTTTTGACAAGCTAGAATAAATGTCAGAAGTCATTCACCAAAGATTATACATTTTATTCAAGGGGGATTTCTTAGGTTATTACACCCTATTTGCTCATCTTAGAATTAGTTCACTAAGTGTATTACACAGCAAATCAGAAGCAGCAAATTTGAGTTGGGGTTCTGGGGCTGTTAGACGGGGGCATAATAATAGTAGCAAGATTTGCTAACTGACTGCTTGACATTAAGGAGTAGACTAAAAAACTAAAATTCAGTCACAAGAACTCTAAAAAACATAGTAGTTTGGGGCCTTTATTGTAAGGTCCTTAGTTGTAATATTTGGAGAATAGTATATTGATGTAGTCATGCCTGTAAGTATTAATAAACCTGCCTTTTTTCTATTTAATAAGGCAGATAAGTATATATTTTAGAAAGGTTTTATTTTTTGGCTAAAAACTTTAAAAGTGTCTTTTCACCCAAAGAGAGGGACAGATTTTTCAGTTATATGAAAAAGTCACTTGGAGAACAGCTTATTCCCATGTACCTTTAGCAATCAGCCTTCTGATGTTCCTTTATGCCTCAGATTCTTGTGTCTCTGGTTATCGTTACCTCTGGGCAGTCATACTTTCAGAAGTTAGGTTGGATCAATCAACATCCATTTTCCTTGTTTTTCTTTTTTTGGACTTATATTTTCCCTAGTAAAGGTCTTTCTCATTCAATATTCCGGTAACATTCTCCTTCCCAGAGGAACCCAGGTAGGTAGAATTTTGCATTACTGCTTCCTTCACTTCCTTACTCTCAAATACTGAGCATCACTGCTTCACTGAGTACTCCCCACTACCCCACAGAGAAGTCAGTGGCAAAGTCACATCTAACACTAGGCTCCTTCTGTGGTAAGAACCAAACCAACAGACTTGCCAAATCTGTTTGCTGTGTACAGAGCAGCTTCTTTCCAGGCCTTGTTTGAGACTCTAGACAATGACAACATTTTAAAGGGATGTTTCGCTTTTGGAGCATCCAGCTTGTTTAAATTGCCTTTTAAAAGCCCCCCTCCCCCATTCCATCTCCAGATTTGTTTAAAAGCAGGAAGCTCTTCATTTCAAATATAAAGTGGTAGTTTGATTTTTTTTTTAATATTAAGAAGAGTGTTTCATTAACCTTTTGTATGGACCACAGAAGCTCATGGTCTATCCTGATTGTGGTATTACTCATTTTTTTGTGTGGGCCTAAAACTCTAGATTTGGGGGGCTAAACCTGATTAGCCATAGTGAGTTACTGTGTGAGACTGATGCCTCTTTTTCTCTCTTTATTATCAGAAACTGGTTGCTCAGATGAAGCAGGATCCACAGGTAAAATACTATTTTTATTCATTTAATTTTTAAATTAAAATAATTTAAAATAAAATGATCATAAAATACTAAAATATAGACTAATACTTAAGTTTTTTAAAAAACTATCTCATCTCTAACAGCAATTATTTTTAGCACATTGGTCTTCATGTTTTAAGAGTTAAGAAAAAATCTAGTCATTCTATTATAATATAGCTATTATTCCATCTTTGTTACTGCTCTTTTGCTTTAATGTTAGTTGCTTTGAGTATTTTGGGGAAAAAATGAGAGTTAATACTCTTCATATAGCTTAAATTTCATTTCCACAAGCCGCCTTACTCAAAATCAGAGTTAGTGAGGCTTTCTGTAGTCTCAAAATTATTAAATATGGCCCAGAACCATTTTTTATTTTCTTATAGTTTATAGTACAGAACATTTGAATACTTAATTCCAGTATGTTCAGAGTGAGAATTTAGAATACTTTTTAAAAAGCACTTTAAAAGATTTTATTTTTGAAAGAGCTCTTAAAGAAGGTTTAAAAGAACCTTATATAATGATCCATCAATATTACCTTTTCTTTAAAGTTTCATAGGCATTTTTGACTTGAGCATTTTATTGTCTATCTTTGAAGAGAAATCTCCCTAAAAAGTTACCTCATCTTTGATGATTGTATTTATCGTTCAGGTGGTATCTCTTTTGCAGCAATGAGACAGTGGGTCACAGGTGTGGAGACTATATATCACACGTTCTCAGGATTTCTCTTCTGCATTTGGTTACTCATAGTCTGTTCACAGAACACATAGACCCACTGATGGGTGTGTGTGTATTTTTTTTTAGCTTATTAAACATAGCATTCATACCTCATTGTAAAGTTAAATAAAATAGATTCTTGGATTGAAGAATGGTACTGTAGCAGATTGATTTTTGGAAGTGGGAAATAATACCCATTTGTACAAATTTAGCACCCAGTGGCTTAACTGTTGTGTTTTTAACAATCCGTTGATTCTGAGAGCTGTCATTAATAGCCACTTAACTCTTGTTTGACGGGCCAACTTCTTTGAGAAGCTTTTCCATTTTAATTTAAAAAATATATTATAATTTAAATTAGATTTAGGGAACTAAGAGGCAATAGACCTTAGATGAATAGATTATTTTATATTTAATGTGGTAACTTATGTTATCAGTAACTGAAATATTATTAGAAAACTTTAGCATTTCTGATATAGCTGGGAATCATGTAACAGAGATATCTTAGTGTGAAGAACTTGAGGGGACATTAGGTTGCTGGACAATCTTGTGGGTGATCTCATTAGAGAGGCCTTATATCAAATACTTTCATAAAAAAATAGTACATGGAGAAAACATGAGAGGGAGGATGTATGCCCCGACCCTGTCAGAAGACGAGGCAGGATGAATTGAAGGAATTGTATGTGAAATGATGAAGGAAAAATAGTCTTATTGGGGTGGTGTTCTGTCAGCTAGTCAGTAGGCTATCCTGCTACATAAACTTTTGAAAACTTTAATTTTGGATTTTTCTCCCACTTGAGTAAAAGGCAAGCATTCTCAGTGTATCTCATTTAAAATAGTATTCTTTTTTGATTCCCAGCATTTTAGAACTGAGAAGTTGCCCTGTTAGTCAGTGTGTTAATTTGAATGATGTAGTGTTAAGGCAGTTGCAGCACTGACAGCTTTCAAATCTAGGCTAAAATAACAAATGTACTCTACTAAATAAGGGAGAGGGCATGCAGAGAAAAACCTTTTTTCATTGATAATGCTGTTAAGCATGCAGTGTGTTCATACTTACAACTTCCATTTTCCTGCTTTTGTCTGATTTAGTGGAACTTTAGGTTTTCTGTCAACTGGTTCTCTCTTATAAAGAATAACTATTTTGGTAGAAAGGAGTACTATTACAGTACAAGATGCTAAAATATAAAACTTCTTGTAATTTAAAATAAGTGCAAAGGAGTTACCCTTGTTCTAGTGTTAGCAGCCTACATTTAGGATAAATGCATTAGGTGGTAGTAATATGACTACAGTTTAATGCATGACACATATGATTGGCTAAATGCTTAAGATTGCTTCATCATTTGTAATACAGTATGCATAAAGTCTTCTTGCTACTATTCTGTTAACAAATGAAATATCTTTCTCACAGATATTTTTTCTTTCCAATCAGAATGCTGATTTAAAGAAACAGCTTCATGAACTTCAAGCCAAAATCACAGCTTTGAGTGAGAAACAGGTAGGGGAAAAAGGAGGGGGGCATATTTTTAACATTGTGTTCTAAAGATATGTCTGCTCGAGGCTTCTAGGAGAACTGCTATTTTTCCTCATGTGTGAAAATAAGTGTGGGCAGCCAGACTCAGTTTTAATTTTGTTTGAGCTCTGTTTATCTATTTTTATTTTTGGTTGAAATCAGTCTCTAGAGTATCCCATGGGTATATGTTACTGGCAAATATCTAAAAGTGCTGTGGCAGGCTGCTCTTAACTGTGTTAATTAAACTCTATAGCTTACCCATAGGGGATCGGGTAAAGAAAGTTAATGGGAGGATGTAATAGAGAATCTTATAGTTGCTGGATATGCCTTGTTACCTGTTTTAAAGGCTTGAGATGGAGAGAATGGTAAACAGATTGCTCTAAATGTAGGTCTCCCATTCTGATTGTCATTCCTTTATGTTAATCTTTATTAGATGTTGACCTACTATTATGTGAAAAAACTTTGGTGAAGCCTTGTTAGATTTATTCTATATAGGCCAAAAAAAAAAAAGAACATCTTTTTTTTTTTTTTTTTTTTTTTTGCAAGGACATCTGGAAAATATTCTTAGGAATTTCTTGTTTAATGACCTCTGCTTCACCAATTCAGACAGCTCCTGCCACCAGGTGGAGTGTGACATTTGATAGAGCTATAAGTAAAAGTCTGTGGTAATCTGACAAAGTGTTCTCTGTTCCTTCCCCATCACTCTCCCTCTGGTTAAAAGGTAGAGGTCTTCTATCTTGGAGTAGGTGAATGTGTGAGCCAAAACGATACAGTGATTTGCCATTTATAGTTCATGCTAGTGACATCTTACTGAAGATTTTTAGCTATACAGTTCTCAATAATTGATATTTGTGTTGTTTTTTAAACTTTTGTTGAATGACATAACAACAGTGAGAATAATTTATTTCTGGAGATTTCTGATTGTGTTTGTTTTATATATTGTATTGTACTTTCATTTAACTAAGGGGAGAAGTAAACTTTTGAGAACTCTGTGGAATACATATGAATTGTTAATGTTTCAGAAAAGAATCTTCTTCCAAGCTAAGTGAACAATTTTTCAACCCCCTCCTTTTCTAATGCTTCTGCTTTTCCCCATCTTGTCTTCTTCAGAGACAGGAGGTGTTTTACATTAGGGAATTGCCAAACTAAAATTAAGAGGAGGTAGCATGGTGGAGAACAATTTATAAGGAAAAATATAAACAGAGTTTTGTTAGGTGTATTTGACTCTGAAAGTGATTCAGTTCTCTAAAGTCAAAATGATGTGTGTTAGTGAAAGTGTTCTAGCTTTAAAATTCTCTTAATGTTGAGCCTCCTTAGAGTTTCAGGGTTAGTTTGACAAGATGCCAGTGAATGAGTCACTTTGGCTGGAAAATTCACGTGTTTCAGCAGGGAAAGAAGGTGAGAACTGATGAGAGAAATAGGGGATGGGGGATTCTGTCACAAAGTTAAGGCAACCTAAGGCTACGTTTGGGGGAAAGGGGCAATTTTTAAAAATTTACATGTATTTGAAATTTTTGTAAGAATTAATGTAAAGATTTGGTTTACTTCTGTAACTTCTAATTCTTTAATTTTTCTTTTGCTAGAAACCTCACTTAATAGAAAATTGCAAACATTTATGTTCAGTAAGACATTTTATCAAGTGGTGAACTCTGTGACCTGAACTAAGTTTGGATTTTAGAAATCAGAATTTTTAAAAATGGTTTTAAGCATTTGGAAAACTTTAGGTTACAAAGTAAAGGAAATAAGTATCAGAAACTAAAATGCAGTCTTGCAATTTTTAAAGTATTTGCTTAACTGTTGAAACAACCTTTTTGATAGAACAGAAAATATATCATTTTTGGTAGGATAGTATGTGAAGGAAGCACAGATACAAAGTTCAAAATCTGGTCTTTCCTCAGAATTATTTCCAACATGGAACATTGATATTTTGTTTAAAATAGTTTTTATTTTAGAACAGACGCCTAATGCTGTATGCCCAGCTCTTTGTTTTTCTTTCTCTGAAGATCCACTTAGCCTCCGGCGAAACTTACTGATTTTCCTTCTACTTTAATTACTAAAATCTGAATTACCTTACTCACATGACTGATATTTTAATTTAATATTTTTTGGTTTTGAGAAAAAATCAAATATAGAAAAGTTCAAAGAGCATTGTATTCCAGAATTAACAGCTGTTAACCCTTTGTCGTGTTTGTTTCCATTCTTTTTCTGTATGTGTTTTTCTATAATCATTTTTCCAGATCCACTTGAAAACTTACAGAAGTAATAAATGCATATGTTCTCTTATTTTGCTTTATTAAAAAAAACATTGCAGATAGTCACTAATTCTTACAGTAGGCATTTATTAGTTCTTATTTGTTACTGCTACCTCAATATTTACTACTTACTCAGTTTCTTCCTCAAGACCAATTATGAAATGGTGCACTCGATTTGGGAAAATACAATCTTTACTGAGCATCCTTCTTGGCTAAAACTCAGCGAATTTCAGTGAATTCTTGTTGAGATTGTTTCAGTGCTTTCAAACTATAATTTGAGATTTCTGAGTAGAAACTCTCCATGGCAGTTTTTGAAGTCATATTCTTGACCCACAGGGCTTTAATTTGTGGCTGACAGTTTTAATTCAGTTTTAACCCCAAACTTGATTGGCTAAATAAATTATATGTTACAAAGCCATTAAAAATCATGGTTTCAAAAATATTTTAATGACATAGGAATGTGCTCAAGATAAAATAAATGAAAAAGCACATGCAACTTCATATGCATTACCATCTCATTTTTGTGTATTGTGTGTATATATGTACGTAGGCATGTAAATGTGTGTAAAAACAGTGTCAGGTAAAATGTTAGGAGGTGATGAGTTTACCGGTAGGTTTTTTTTTTTCTTTATATGCTTATGTATATTTCCTACATTCTCTACAATAAATATGTTTCTATAATCAGAAATAGACAAGAAACATTATTAAAAAAATTTTTAACACCAAACTCTGTCTGTTACAGGGATGGTTAATGTTTAAAAATGTAGTAACATTCTTCTCATGGTATGTGAACCACTCTAATCAGAGAATCCAACTATTTTCAACACTAGTAATACTGAAGTGTGGAAGCAACTGTTAATTTTTTTAACAGAGTTCATTCTCATTCTGCACCCCTTTCCTCTCATCTTTGACATACGTGTGTGGTCTTTTGCTTGTCAGAATAGAGATTCTAATAGTGGGGCCGATACACTGAGTTGCATTAGTGCTCTGCTTTCATTCTAATTCATTTATCATAGAAGCAATCTTAACATCTCAAAGTTTGTTGCTTATATTCCTTTTGTGACTCAGGCTTAAGCCATAATAGTTTCATCTTTGATTTCCCCTGCCTTGAGGGGTTTGCCACACCACCTTCCTTCACCTGGTGCTCTCCTGACCAGGCATCAGATAGGTTAGGTTGCAGCTTAAAAGTCACTTTCTCAGAGGACCTATCCGTGAAACCCTATCCTCCTGTCAAAATCAACTGTTTCTATTATAATCTCTCATTGACCCCTTCATTGAGGCTCCTTCATAGCTGTGCCATTTAGGATTAGGTTCTGCTGTCAGTGATTGAAAACCCAAAATGAAAATGGCTTAAACAAGGTAGAATTTTATTTCTGTCTCATGTAGAAGCTGTGTAGGTGTACTAGGGCTGGGGATAGTGGTTCCACAGTGCCACGGAACCCAGGCTCCTCCTGCTCTTTTGCTCTGCCATTCTCAGCATGAAGCTTCCACATCATAATCCAAAATAGCTGCTCCATCTGGTAAGAAGGGGGAAAGCAAGCCTTTTATTTCTAAGGATATTTATTGGATGTTGTGCGTACCACTTGCAATTAGATCCCATTGCTCATAACTTGGTCACATGGCCCCAGCTAGGAGCAGGGAAGGCTGGGAAGTATAGTCTATTCCAGGTAGCCGTGGGCATATAAAATTCAGGGACTGTAATACTTAGCAGGAAGGGGGAAATAAATATTGTGGATAATTAGCAATTTCTGCCATAGTAGTTTATCACAATTTGTAATGACACGTCTGTGATTTTTATTTTTTAGTATCTGTCTTCCTCACCACACTGTTAGTTTCAAGAAGTCAGAGAACATACTTTTCTTATTTGCTTCTTTATTTCAAGTATAGTGTTTAGTATAATATTTAGCATAAAATAATATTTAGCACAGAAAAGCATATGTATTTCTTAAATGAATTATTTTATCTACCTTATCTTTTTCTCTACTTAAAGATATATTTTAAAACAATGCATCTTGCTTTTATACATTTTAAACTTAAAATATACTATGAACATTTTCATACATTTTTGAGTGTTCTTTAGGAACATAATTTTTTAATTGCTTCAAATATTTAATAGTCTGGCTAGATCAAAGCTTATTTAGCTGTTCACTCTATTATTTGATGAAGAATGTTTACAGCTTTATGTTATTATAAATACTGCTCTGATAAATACCCTTGTATGTGAATCTGTTCTCTCTCATTGCCTCAGGATACATTCTCAGGTGTAAAATTATTGGGTGTATTGGTCATCTATTGCCGTGACAGTTCTGCACAACAAACCAGTGTTTCATTGAGTTACAAGACTAAGGATTTATTTTCACACTGGGTTGTAGATCACCTGGGTTTCTGATCTCTGCTGGGCTTGGCCAGTTACATCTACTTCAGTTTGTGGGGTGGCTGGCCCTGCCTCAGGCTGTAGGTAGGGTTAGATCTGCTCTAAATATGTTTCTTCTGAGGCCTATCATGAAGGGGCAGCAGCCACCTGGAGCATACTCATGTCATGGTTTCTCACCAGCGTGCAAGAAACAGGCCAAACTACCAAAATGCATTTTAAGCCTCTGCTGGCATCAAGTCCCATTAGACAAAAATCATGTGGCTAAGCCTTGTGAAGTTACATGACAAAGCATGTGAATGTCTAATTTTATGACAGAGTATGAAGAGTTGAGAGCAATAATCCATCCAATACTCTTGGTC